ATGCCTGTAATTCTGGCTACTTGGAAGGTTGAGGTGGAAGGATCACCGGAGCCCAGCAGGCGAGGTTGCGGTGGCCGGGAGCGGCCACTGCACTCCAGTCTGGGCGACCGAGTGAAAAAAAAAAAAATTCAACTCAAAAAAAAAAAAATTCAACTTAACCCGAGCATTTAAGACTTACCCATTTCCTCAATGTTAAATTGTACCTCAATTTTTCAAAAAAGTGCCCTCTATTGCATCTGCACTGTAGTAAATAAAATGCTTTTAGTATTTAAAAAATATTTTCTTTTTAAAACTCAAGGCTGCCGGACATGGTGACTCACGCCTGTAATTCCAGCACTTTGGAAGGCAGAAGTGAGAGGATTGCCTGAGCTTAGGGGTTCAAGACCAGCCTGAGTAACATGGCGAGACCTTGTTTCTACAATAAAAAAAAAAATGAGCTGGGTGTGGTGGTGCCCGCCTGTGGTCCCAGCTACTTGGAAAGCTGAGGTGGAAGGATTGCCTGAGCCCATCAGGTTGACGCTGTGGTGGCCATGAGCATGCTACTGCACTCCAGCCTGGCAACAGAATGAGACTCCAACCCAAAAAATAAAAAATAAAAAAATTCAAGACTGCCGAGATTACTGCTTTCATAAGCTCATACCTGGCAGGTGCTTCAGGCTCCAACTGGTTTGCCTACTACCAATTCTTTCTCACTGACAGGTCATCTTGCTGAACACACATTTGATTTTATCTCCAGTTAAACAAACATCCTTGGCTCCCATGGGTCTGTGGGATGCAGTGTAAGCACCTCAGCAAAGCAGACTTTCCTAATCCACACCCCGCCTTTCCGGGTGACCTCTGTCCTCCATGCAGATCTGCTCATGGCACTCCACCTTGGGACCAGGGCCCTGTGCTGCTTCTGCCCCACCTGCTTCTTCCTCCTCAAGTGTCACTTTCCAGTTCTCAAGGACTGGCTACTGGATGTCTAACCATAGTTCCCACAGCCCTTAATTCCTACCTTTATATCTCTTGGTGAGCTCAGCACATTCGCTGCTCTCTAGGAGCCAGGCGCTGTCTCCCACCTATCACCCTAGCACTTTGGAAGGCAGAGGGGAGAGAATTGCCTGAGCCCAGGGATTTGAGACTAGCCTGGGCAACTTGGTGAGACCTGTCTCTACAATAAATCAAATAATTAGCAGGGTGAGGTGGTACAGCCTGTAGTTCCAGCTACTTGTAAGGCTGAGGTTCTCCTGAGCACAACAGGTTGAGGCCATGGTAGCTGGGGCCCAACAGGTTGAAGCTGTAGTAGCCAGAATCATGCCATTGGAGTCTAACCCGGGTTACAGAGTTACTTTGACTCAAACAAAAACAAAACCAAACCAAAAAAACAAACTTTCTGCGTTTTATATGACCCTGATCTAAATGCTTCCTGAGAGCTGGCACCATTTCTCTTCATTGCTGGGTCCCTGTGCTAAATCAGTGGGTGCTTAACAGAATCACTTTGCTAAATGAATAGTAATTTATTTACTTAATAAATGCTAAATAAATAGATCGAACAGGGCTGATTTATAAGTTCCGTTTTTGTGTCAGAGTTCTAGTTTTCGTAGAAACATGTTGCTTCTCATTAAATTCGTCACTTTGGAAAAACTTGAGAACGAAAGGGATACAGACAAGACAGTTTAAACAAGAAGTTAATGTCCTTAGTTCGAGTTTCCTATTCTAAGAAAGGCTGTCTCCTGCATTATCCATAGACTAGCCACCAGTCACGTGACTGTCTAAATTAATTAGAATCTCGCCGCCCGCGTGTCCTGTGCCCATGAGCTCCTGTGTTGGTGGCTGCCCCGGAGGGCGCCGTGTGACATTTCTACCCTCGCACACGGTCTGCGGCAACGGGGAAATCCTCGGTCTCCAAGCGTATTCTCCCTCCTTGGAACACTCTTCCACGCTGTCCCCACGCCTCGGCCCCAGCCCATTGTTATCCTCGTTTCGTCTGTGATGTGTCTGGTAGTGGACAGAGATTCCCAGCCGCAAGGACCATGCCTCGCCGCGGCCGCCCGCGCTCAGTTTTAAGCCCAGGCACACAGCAGGTGCTCAGGGAGAGGGTAGGAGGGGCCTTCCCGAGAGCCAGTTTCAAGCCGTTTCCATGCGGATCGCCCCCTAGGAGTCTCCGGCTGCAGACATTTTTATTTTAGAGTTTATGTTTAAGTACCGCCTTGAAGACCAGCGGGAAGAGCGGTGCTGGCGCTCCTTCCCGCCCCTGTCCCTAGTCCGCTTGGGCCCCGCCCCCACCCTTCCTGGGCCCGCCCCCAGCCCGCCCATTTCCTGCCCGCGCCCCGCCCCCTCCGCTGGCGTCCTGGTCCCTTCTCGCGCCGCCACCGCCCCCGGTTCGCCACTGCGCAGGCGCGGCCGGCGAGAGTGCGGCGTGTGGAGGTGCCCGCCCGGGGTCTGGAGGCCTGCTTGAGGCCCGCGCCAGCCGAGCTCCGCCCGAGGTGAGGCGCAGCGACCCAGCCTCCCGGTGCCCCGGCAGCGTGACCATGGAGGCCCAGGTGCTGACGCCGCATGTCTACTGGGCTCAGCGTCACCGCGAGCTGTATCTGCGCGTGGAGCTGAGCGACGTGCAGGTAAAGGCCGGCTCCGGTTGTGGTGACGCCTGGAACCCGAGGTGCGCTCCGGGCGCTCCTGTGGTGGCTCGTGTCGTCCTGGCCTGGCACGATCCCTGGGGCCGCCGGTGCCCAGGGAGACTCGCGCGGGCCTTAGACTGTCCCCGGCCTCGGGATGCCCTGGCCTCGAAATGACCCGGCCTCGGGATGCCCCGGTCTCGGGGGTGCCCCGGTCTCGGGATGTCCCGGTCTTGGGATGTCCCCGACCTCGGGATGTCCGGTCTCGGGATGCCCCGGCTTCGGGACGTCGCCTGCTTCGGGCTGCCCAGTCTCAGGCTCTCTGGCCTCGGGATGCCCCTGGCCTCGGGTTGCCTCTGCCTCGGGACGTCCGGTCTTGGGAGGCCCCCGGCCTCGGGATGCCTGGCCTCGGGATGCCCCTGGCTTTGGGTTGCCTCGGTCTCCGGCTGCCTGGCCACGGGATGCCCCTGGCTTCGGGTTGCCCAGGCCTCGGGTTATCCCGGCCTCGGGATGCCCAGTCTCAGGCTGCCTGGCCTCGGGATGCCCCTGCCTTTTTGTTGCAGTCTGCACCTTGAAGAAACCCGAGCCCGGCCCGGGTGCCTGGCCATCGTGGTTTGGGTCGGCTAAGGCCCTCTAAGGGTGGGGTGAGCCCGTCCTTGCTGACTGAACCCTGGTCTGCGTTGCAGGGCGACAGTACTGGGCCGGGCTGGCAGTCTAACTCCCACCCAAGACGTCCAGCCGGTCGGAGGTTACCGAGGCTCGCCCACCACTGCCTGGGGCCCACACTGCCTCCCCACGGTTCAGTGATGGACATCATTCTCGTTACTGTTAATTGCTAAATTCACAAGATCATGAGGAAGAGATTTTTTCTCCCCGGTTTGAAGCTGTGAGCCCAGGTTTGTCGAGTTGCACGGAGAACTTAAGAATTTCCCAAGTTACATTAAGCGTTTATGTTTGATCTGGTGGGCCCTCAGTGTGCACCTCCACTAGACTCAGCACCTGTGTACCCTCGTGTCTCTGTCCAGACTATCCAGGATCTTGGTCTTTGAGGAGCTGGAGTTTTAAGTCTGGAATGTTCTTTCTGCAGTCACCCTTACTCCCGACTTCTCCTTGCATTTTGTAATCTCTTTTGTGCCACTTAACCCTTTGCGTCTGCATCAGGCATCTGCTTGGATCTGTCACTGCATCTGGCATAATGTCTTGATAAACATAGGTACTTTCTGAGTGTTGACTTGAATGTTTGCTTCTGGAATAAGAACTGTTATCATGTTGAAAGATGAAAACAATACTGACCGGAAAGCCTCTAAGTAGTCTATGACATTGCATGGTGTGTCATTTAATGTGTTAAACCTGACTGAATTATACTTCGGCGTCAGAGTATAGAGAAATGTTCTCCATTTATCCATATGTCTCCCTTTGCTCTAGGATGCTTTAATAGGAAAAAATAAAATCTTTTGTAGGTGGGGATCAAAGTCTCTATCTAGAAAGGTTCTTCCAGCAATCAATAAAAAAGTACAGGACATGTGTTGTGATAGTCTCTTTAATTATTTAGTTAAGCAGTATGTAGACCAAATGAAATAAACTCAGGCTCTGCCCTCTCTAGATGGCTAAGATGGCTATCATGTGTTTAGGATAGAATATTCTGAGATATTTTTGAAGACATAGCAGGCAAGGTGTTTTTAGGGGAAATGAGGGGGATGATGAAAAGAAATGGAAATTGGTTGAACAAGTGAAAAAATGCACTATATTTATATTTTTCTTGAAAGATGTAAACCTCTTAGTTAAGAAACATGAACACATGATGTTAATTGTATTTGGTATATTTATAAGTATGGAGGCATATATTTGAAATATATAATGGTTTAAAAATGTTATGGTGGAGAAAAAAGAAATGTTCTTTTGAAGATATAAATTCTTTTTTTTTTTTTTTAATTTTGGGGAAAAATAAGTTTTTTCCCCCTAGTTGAGTTTTTTATTTTTATGGGGTTTCCATAGTTCTGAGGCATCCATTTTAACTACCGTTTAAAAGCAACATGTTACTACCATTCATAAAAGAAATCCTCTAACACATGTAAGATAGTACAGATTTACGAGGATGAGTCATACAGACTCAGCTTTCCAAGGATATAATATCTAGAAGGAAGCATATTTAGCCTATAGAAACAAAACGTTTTGTTCATGAGTATGCTTATTGGTAGAATTGGAATTGGATGTTGACCCAGGTCCCTGGTGTTAAAGGAATTTGTTACTTCTCTTTCACTTAGTTAGAGATGACTTCCAGAAATGAGAATTAGTCCTGTCAAACTGAGACTGGGAGAACTTTCTGGAAAGAGTAAGGCATGAACTTTTAGACACTTGTAATGTCTGACTTATACCATGTCAGTGCCCTAAAAAGACCACCAAGGACCCACCTGTAGTTAAATAAGTTGGGTTTATTACTCATTGCAGCAAGGGAGATACTCCATGGGGAGCCCTGGGGTGTCTCATTGGTGTCTCATTAGGAGGGTGTTAGAACCGATCATAGAATTTGGGTGTTGGTGATTGAGGGAAGGGAGGGTTTAAGGAAGCAGGTGTTCACTTTAAATTAGATGCTGTCAGAAAACATGGGCAATTCTGTGGTTGGGTATCTGAATAAATCTTTAGAGAGGAGAGACTAGAACAAGAATTAAAGAATGAAACTGAATTGGTAGAGAAGTAGCAATCACTCATTATGGCCAAGAGTGTTTGGTATTTTGTGGGTGGCATTGCCATTATCTGTTTGTCTGTGCTTATTATGAAGTGATCTTGTCTCATTTTATCAAGGTTTCAGGATAACATTGTCTGAGGCTGGTATTCTGTGAGATGGTTCAAGTCCGAAAGGAGAATAGCTGTGAGTGCTAAGCCCACTTCAGAATGTCAAGGGCAGCTCTTTTTTAAATGTATTGATTGATTGCTCTATGGAGGGCCTGTTGAAACCAGTGGTTCACCTCAGGATGAAGCAATTCATTTATTTGTTCAATAAAAACCACATGCCTGTAATCCCAGCACTTTGGGAGGTGGAGGCAAGAGGATTACCTGAGCCTAGGGGTTCGAGACCAGCCTGGGCAACTTGGTGAGACCTTGGCTCCACAAAAAGTTAGGCCAGGCTCAGTGGCTCAGCCTATAATCCCAGCACTTTAGGAGACTGAGGCGAGTGGATTGCCTGAGCCTGCGGGTTCGAGTCCAGCCTGGGCAACCTGGTGAGACCTCGTCTCTACAATAGATAAAAAAATTAGCTGGACGCAGTAGCGCGTGCCTGTAGTTCTGACTACTTGGAAAGCTGAGGCGGAAGGATCGCTGGAGCCCAGGTAGTCGACACTGGAGTGGCCATGAGTGTGCCATGGCACTCCAGCTTGGGTGACAGAGTAAGACTTCAACTCAAAAAAAAAAAAATTGGCTGGGTGTAGTGGCGCATGCCTGTAGTTCCAGCTGTTTGTAAGGCTGAGGCAGAAGGATCACCTGAGCCCAGCAAGTCAAGGCTGCGGTGGCCATGAGCATGCCACTGCACTCCAACTTGGCCAACAGAGTGAGACTCAGACTCAAGAAAAAAAAGTTTATGGAGTACCTACTCTTGTCTGTCATTAAGCCAGATGCGGGGTTGCTGGACAGCTCTCCACCACTCCCTGCTTTCTATAGTGTGTTTACAGCTTATGTGTAAGTGTGAGTTTCAAAATGTTGAGTTCCAGTTTGGGGGCATCAGCTGCCTCTCTGCCTTCCTCCTGGCACAGGAGCTATGAAGTTTTACATCTCCATTCTGTCTTTGGAGCTGCAGGGCTAGTGCCTGGTGAGAAGCCACTGCTGATGTGAAGAAGGGTGGTGGGCAGTCAGGACTTGCACAGTGCGTTGTCTGTGCTTGAGGTGAGCAATAGTTGAGAGGCTGCTGGGGCAAGGTTACTTTCAGGATGAGCATAATGGACGGTTTGTCCCAACAATCATAGTGGTTAAAGTATTTGTTTATTGGTGGTTGTGAACAAAGTACATAGCTACTCTTGGAGCTATTTGAAGTTATTGTTCTTGTCCCTACCTAAGAGTCTGGTGGAAAGAGTAGTAACTGAAGACATGAGGTTGTGTCTTCACTCTTCCATTCACTCTCTGGTGATCATGATTCACTTAACCTTTATGAGTCTCAGTCTCTTCATTCAGGTAAATATGAATAATAGCACCTAATTCACAGGACCATTTTGAGGTTTGGATTGGATAATGGATTTGAAAGTGCTTTTGTACATTCTATTGTGCTGTTCAGGTGTGAGGGATTATTATGATTGTGATACTAAACCTTAGATGAAAGGGATAGACACAAAGAGCAGTGGAACAGAATAGAGTCTATTAGCAGACCTATCCACATCTGAAAACTTATGGTGCCACAGGTGGTTTTACAGATTAATGGAGAGGATGGCTCATTCAGGAAATTGTATTGGGACAATTGGTAATTCAAATGGCAAAGGGATAAAATAAGATCCTGCCTTTGCTGTAAACAGAGATCAGTTTTAGGTGGATTAATGACCTAAAAGCATAAAGCAAAGCTACTAAAAGAAAACATAGGGGACTATGATATTGGAATAGAGAAGAATGTCTTAAGTAAGACACATAAAGCACAAACCCTAAAGACAAGACTGACAAATTTAAGACAAATTTGAAGAAGACACTTGTAGCACATATCACTGAGAGAGGACTAGTATCTTGAATGTTTAAAGAACACCTAAAGATCAATAAGAAAAAGACATATCACCCAATAGAAAAGGGGCAGAAAATATAAATAGTTCAGCATAAAAGGAAATAAGAATGGCCAAAAAGTCTGAAATGATGTTTAACCTCAATTATGGTCTTTATTGTGCTTCATTTCAGTGTGTTTTGCAGATAGTGTATATTTTACAAATTGAAGGTTTGTGGCAATCCTGTGGCAAATGACTGTATTGGCACCACTTTTTCAGCAGCATGTGCTCACTTCATATTTGTGTCACCTTTTGGTAATTCTTGCAATGCTT